GGCCTCTGTGTGAGAGGAGAGGTGGCTGCCTCCGAGGAAGCATAACGCCTGGGCTCCCCAAGGTGGTTAGCCGACGCTGTTGTCTTACGGATTGTCGGGTGTTTGGTTTTTTGTTGGGTTTTTTTTTTTCCTAAATGACGATCAATTTTGCTTTTTATTAGTGGTTTAAGATGCTCCGGTCCCCTGATGTTTGTTCCTGCTACCTCGATGCTGCGTTTGTTAGCTTCATAAATGGCTAACTTGGTATGACTGACCTTTTTGTGCGCACCAGCTATGAACAGATGCTTTCTCCACCGGCTGATAGTCTGCTTTGGCAGGGTCTTGCCCTCCATTTCCTTTTTCTTGTGAGGATGTTTCTGCTTATGTAGTTGTGCTGCTTGCCCAGTGGGCTTTTCTTGTGGCAGTGCCTTAAATGAAGTGGGCAAGAACTACTGGTGATCGGGTGGGATGCTGAAGAGTTAAAAAGCCCTGTTCATGTCTATTTATTTTTTAAATATGATTTGTATGATTGTTATTTGTGTGTGCAAAGCAAAATTAATGACTTGGCCTATCTGCTGTGATTGCAGGAACTTCCGCAAAATAAACTGTGCCATACGGCTCACTGTATGAAGCTTTGCTTTTTTTATCAGCTCAGAATCAAATATGGTCTTTTTAACTTACAGGTTCTTGAGTGTGGAGTCTGTGAAGATGTATTTTCTTTGCAAGGTGACAAAGTTCCCCGTCTGCTTTTGTGTGGCCATACTGTCTGCCATGACTGTCTTACCCGGCTTCCCCTTCATGGCAGAGCAGTTCGTTGTCCTTTTGATCGACAAGTTACTGAACTAGGTAAGAAAATGTAAGTCTAAAGTTCTTAAAGCCTGTCAGCTAAGAATGTCTAGAAGACAGTGCTAGATATAGATTCTTAATGCTCCACTTAGTGATAATATTTCCAAGTAGTGAATGTGCAGTGCTCCTCTTCATTCAGAGAAGCTCATAGCACTGTTAAGCAGTAATAGAATAGGTATCTTAGAAAAAGAAAGTCAAGATTTCATCTTTATTTTCTTGAACCTGGGCTTGTAAACTTTATACCTTAAAGTCTTTTTGTACAGCTGTATTTACAGAGGGACTACTCTATTTTAAACCAGTGTCTCAGGGTTCCTGAATTGGTATTAGTTTCCTGTTGGCCTAAACGCTAAATAAACAATGCAATTAAATAGGTAGCTTCTTTAGCAAACGGATTTGTCTGGATTCATGATGAAGCGTTGTAGAGGGAAGTACCAGTGATAACAAACTTTTTAAAAATGCAGAGTAATTCTATATATGCAGTAACTGATAATGGCCGGCTATCAACGGGAATTCCCCTACTGTAGGAGTGTCTGCAGACAGTATTTGAAAGGATAAGGTGCAGCTTTTATCCAACAGTGGACGTTTATTTTAGGCAAAAGATGACACATGCTCATAATCCCTTCAGAACGGGACTTGCCTATTCAAAGTAGGGTTACAGAGAAGACAAATTATCAGAAGAATTTGTACTGAGAAGAACTTGTTAAAAGAACTGGCTCCAGCAGTTTTAGATAGCACGGGGGGGAAAAGCTCTTGGAAGGAGGAGAATCCTCAGAGAAGGAGTAATCCTTGAAAGAAATGTTTAAATATCAAGTTCACTAGAATAAGAATTACTTTGCAGTCAGAGAATCTGCTAGAATGTAGACCAAACTGACAGGAATATTAAGGCAGTCTGGGGGATGCTTCATGGAAATAGGAGTCAGGAAAAGAAATACCAGTCTCATATGAAAGAGGGGTTTGTTTTCTGTGGGGAGGGAGGTGGCAAGTGTGAGAGTCATGAATGGTTACCAATCTAGAAGATGACAAACAAAAACCAACGATTTGTTTTACTTCTTATCTATGACTGTACAGCTACATGAGATTTCTTAAAGTATGCTTTAAAGCACAAGAGTCAGTCCTGCTATTGTGAAACATTTCTGTCCAAGACTAGTACTTTATCTTGTGAAGTAAAAGTAGCATTTTTATTATGATAGGGAGCTTGTCACTTCTTAGTTTTCATTGTGCATTTTTTTCCCCAGGCATCTGCAAGTATCCTATCATAATTTTTTGTGGGTTTCAGGTTTAACAAAAATGAAGCTTTATAAAAACATTTAAATTTTTTTCATCTTGCATAATACTGAGGAGCTTCTGATGAAACACAGTGAAATGTTATTAAACTTGTAAGGCTCCTCACAGATAGGAAGAGGGAAGAAAAGCTTCAGCTCTTGTGTCTAGGATAGTAGACTTGCATCCTACTGGCTAGTGCTAGAAAGAAAGATGATATGCTGTGACCAGCAGTTGCTCAAAAAACTGATAGGTAGAAAATTTTAGCAGAACAGCTTGAAAGTAAAAATACTTCTGTGAATAAAAATGGTCTGTCTGGTGATCTGAGGCAGAAGAGGGTCATAGCCACTTTTAATCTTACCAGGTCCATGAGAACTCTCTTAAGAAATACATGCTAGAAGCAGTAATAAGAATTATGTGTTTTGTGGAGTGCAGCTCGTCATAGCTCCTCTTTGAGGCATCTGTGCATTTGTTGTCTTGCTCTAATTACCTAATAGTTACTGCTGTGCCTGTAGTTCTGTTTCCATCTTAGAGCTTAGGAGTGGAGCTGGGAGGGAGGCATGGCAACTCTGGGCCCAGGGAACTTCTCATCCTTCCCTCCCCTCCATTTGAGGGCATATGAGAAAGTAAGCTCCATTTTCATCCATTTCTGCAAATTGCAATTCTACCATTTAATGAATTAGTCTCAGGAAGCTGTTTAGTATCTAAATCTAGATTATGGGATTGCTGCCAAGAAAAAGTTCTGTTGAAAGAAAAAGCTGCATTATCAGGGTATAAAGCTACCTGTGTTGAATAAAGTTCCTTAATCAGTAACTGTGGAATTTACAGATGCTTTTGTGGGTTTCAAGTTTAACAAAAATGAAGCTTTATAAAAACAGATGCTGGTCATTTCACCTATACAGTTCAGCAGATAGACTTGCTTTTTTTCTGTTGCTCTTAGTACTAAATCACTTAATCCTGTATTTGTCCAAGTTTTCCCAAGGAATCTTGGGAGCTTTTTGGAAGAAATACTTGAGCATCTATATATGTATAGATAAAGCTGTATTTTCTCCCTTCTGAAATGTACACTTGGTTTAAATTTACTGGCCTGTTTCTTCTACCCCTGCCTTCCCATACAGTTTTTTATATATATATATACACACACACATACATATATGTACTTTGTCAATCAGGATTTCTGGAAATACGGAATCTGCAAGTGAAAATTGACAACACATCATTTACATGCTTAGCAAAATATTCTAATAGTTCTTAAAGTCTTGCTATGAGAGAAAATATTTAGTAATGAACCAGCATGATTAAAGCCTGCCCAAACTATATTACTTTGCAGAGTAGACTAAACATAGATTTTTGGGAGGTTTTTGAGAGTTCTTTAATGAAGTTGCCTGTGATTAATCTTCTAGTGGAGAATTTTAAGTGAGTATGTACATGTTGGAGGTATGTGAGCTGTCTAGTGGTTATCTTCAACTGGATTAACATTTTTTGAGCAAAAAGATACAACGGAAAAGCTTTTTCAATTTTCAAAACTTTGAATCCATATATTCTGGAGATGATGTTGACTCTGGCAATAAATCTGTAAAATGGTCTTTGTAGAAGAGACTCCTCTTGAAGCCTTTTCCTAAAGTATCTTGATTTTGGAAAAGAAATTAATCACTTCTTGCACACAGCTTTCTTTCTCCTTCCTGCATTGGATTAGTGCGTTGTTTTTTGTTTTTTTTTAAATACGTTGACCGAGAGGCTGTCAGAAAGGATGTGCTTATACAATCATAGAATCGTTTAGGTTGGAAAAGACCTTTAAGATCATCAAGTCCAACTGTTAACCTAACATTGCCATCCCACCACTAAACCATGTCCCTAAGCACCTCTTCTACCT